CTGTTCATTGATACCAGCACAAATCTGAGGAATATTTGTGAGAGTGGATTTTTGTGGTGCTTGAAGAAGGAAGGGGAAATGTGAGGTTGGACCAGGCTGATCTCCTTGACAGGGGTGCACGGCATTCTCTGTGCTCGCTCCCAGAGCTGGCTGCATTCTGGCCATTGATGGGTCGGCTAAAGCAAACTTGGACCGAATGCTGGCACACATGAAATGAAACATAAAGGCCCGAAATCCCTTGGCATCATGTAGAGGAAAGGATTCAAAGATTTCTGAAGACTGGATTTATTTTGTGCCTCCTTCCCATTAATGTCTCTATGGCCCTCACTGAACCCAGAGCACTTCACCTTTGCTTTGAGGAAAGTCTACATCAGGGGACCTTGGTGGAAGGGCTGCAATTCCCATGAAATGGGTTCATTGATCTCAGAGGGGAGGAAGAATGGGGAGGTGTGGGAGGCCAGGGGTTGGCATTTAAGTGCCTCAGAAATGAAGTGAAAAGGTCATCATAATATTCAGCAGGTTCTGAATGAAGCAGGGTCTGTGCTAAGGCCCTAAAGAGGTAAAGGTGACCACCAGTCTTACTTGATTTGAGTAACGAATAAAACATAAGAAACAAGGCAAAACAAGTAAAACAAAGCAAAACCCAAAACATTCTCTAGTCCTGCATAAAAAGTCCTAACTTAAGTCACCACAATCATCACCTAACACCTAGGCTTGAGTTCATTTATTGATCTAAAGCCCCTTGAGTGAAGAATATGCCACGTGCCCTTGGGGAGCGTGTCTGCTCTACCACTACATGAGCGTAATGGGCACGTGTGTCTTGTTTTCTCCAGAAACGCCTGTGGTCATTTACCAGGGTAACTGGGTACTGAAGAAAGGGAAACACTCAAACCTTTCAGGAAGCACTGGATAAAGACTTTGAATTAATGCCAATTTCTTGGGTCTGAGAGTACCACTGCTGGTCCACCAACCATGTGAAAAGTAGTATTCTGGCCCTTGTCCATGTCACTGAAGGGCTAGATCTCCAGCTTCTGAGTGATTGCTGGAAAAGATCCCCACTTTGGCTCCCTGACCCAGGGAGGCCATTATAATATAAAAGGCCAATAGAATCCAATTCAATGACTTTTTTGAAATGGAAAACTCAAAGTGGTACCACATCTTTAGGGAGGCTGCAGAGATTAGTGCCTGCAATAAATACCCTGCAGGGCAATGGCTCCCATCAAAACACCTTTGGCTTCCCCTGTTTGGCTGGTGTAAAATTATATGGGTCTTGGAAAATGGCAGTGGATGATTTTAATCAAGTGACAACTCTAATTTTAGCTGCTGTGTTAGATATGTATTCCTTACAATCCCTGGAGCTAATATGCATCTATTGGTTTCATTTTCTACTCCAAGAAACACAAACCACTGGAAGCCTTTTGCTATTACTTGGAAGGGAGAACAATTTCCTTTATTATTTGGCTCAGAGATACCTTAGTTCACCAGTTCTGCACCAGGAAGATTCGATTAAATCTCTTTGCCCTATTCCACAAGACATCAAACTGCTCCGCTATACTGATTACATCGCATTAATGGGGCCAAAACACACCAAGTGTGTTTTCGGTTATATATAATATAGTTGTTTTATGTCACAAACATATTATAGACTGTGCTTATGGGGAGAAGGGTGAGCATATAATATGCCGGGCTGCCAAGGGTTGTGGACAACCTGCTATTTTTACCTAACATCCCTCCTCTTTATTTTGGTGACGTCACATGGTCTTCTCTTTGGGTAACTACCTTTCTTCCATCCAACGTCACCTGTTGCAGATGTGAATCCAGGTGCCCTGCCCCCTATCTCCACCAAGGGAGAGGCTTGTGGCTCTAGGCAGGCTGGGATTGGAACTGGGAGCAGAATGACACAGGGAGGAAGGCCACTGAAGGAAGTTCCAGTCCTAATCTCTGGAACCTGGAAATGTTACCTTATTTGGGAAAAGTGTCTTTCTGCAGATGTGATTAGGCTTAAGGATCTTGAAATCATCTTAGATTAGCTGGGGGGAGGGGAGCCTACATGCCATCACAGGGGTCCTTGTGAGAGAAGCACTGGGAGACTCCCACACACGGAGCAGAAGATGACATCAGGACAGAGGCAGAGAATGAAGGGATGCAGTCACAAGCCAAGAACACTGACAGCTACCCAAAGCTGGAAGAGGCAAGAAGATTCAGCCCTGGAACCTCAGCGTGGCCCTGCTGACACCAATTTTAGATTTCTGGCCTCCAGACTGTCAGAGAATAAATTTCTATTGTTTCACACCACCAACAGGAAAGGAATACATCTTCCAATAAATTCTTTTTTTTTCCGTTTAGATAGTTTCTGTTGCTTGTAACCAAAGAACCGTAATTGTGACGGTTGCTCATCACTTATTTATAATGAATTACTTTTCCACCAAGTTAGTTCCCACTGGATTCCTGTCACTTGAATCCTTTGCCAAACCCAAGATTGGAACCAGAGGACGTGGAGTCTGAGTCACTCCACGCACCTCCTCCCCTCCACCCCCCATAAACTCGGCGTGCACGCCAGGCCGGACACGTACAGGCTGAACAGGACCCGGGGCCCTGCCTCTTTATTTGCATAATAGTTTTCACAGACACACAGGAGTGGGAGTGAGAGTGAGTCGCTGCTCTTCTGCCAGGACGACACACAACCTGGGCATGGCTGCAGGCTGGTCAGCTCTCCCCGGAGCATTCCCCATACCGGCTTTAGGGACTTGGCTGTGGGGTCAGAGAGTCTGGAAGCTACCTGGCTCCTTGGTACATTCAGGAAGGGGGGGGGTGCATACAGGGCAAGCGTGTTGAGGGCCAGCATGCACATGGGGAGTCAGGCGCGGCCCCTTGGCCAAGCTCCAGCCTCTGCTCAGTCTGGAGGGAGACAGGTTCCATCCACACGGGGTGGGGAGCCCACCATGTCACACCCAAGGCCTGCACACAGCCTGTGCCCGGTGCTTAGAAAGGCCTCCCAGAGCCCCCACTGCCTAATTAACGATTCACCTGTACAGTCACCCTCAAAAAAGTCTTCTCGGACCCCCATTAATGGTTCCTGCTACACTGCGTGCCTGGAGTTCCCTGGACTTGGCACAACTCACTATTACACAGTTCTGTGATTGCTGGATTAAAATCCATCTCTCTCACTAGTCTATAAGCTTCATGAGTATATATAGATTTTGTTCCCCGTGACTCTTGAACCTAGTGCTCAATGAATCAGAGGGCAGGTGTGTCAAGTAAATATGAGAAGTGGCAGGACTACCACAGAGTGTGTGTGTGTGTGTGTGTGTGTGTGTGTGTGTGTCGGGGGGACACTATGGGGAACTAGAGGGTACATGCCTCACCCAAAGGCATTCGAATTAAAAAAGTATACTAAAAATACTGTTCAGCTAAATAAAACACGTCTGCAGGCCACACATGAAGTCCCACCTGTGGGTCTTCCAAATGAGATTTGTTGAATGTTCGAGTGAAGAATCTACAGGGAAATCGCCATAAAAGCCTCATAAAGTCGGGAGGAACGGGGATCAGAACCAGACACCTGCTGTTGGGCCATGTCCACACCCTTTCAAGGGCAAGGCCGCTCTCTGGTCATTTCCTCTTCCTCCCCAGCGCTAGACACACAGCGTGTGCTACGAACTGGTGTTCCATCAGCAAATGTTCACTAAGCACCTACTCCTCACCAAGCTTGGGTTCAACCACACGTCCTCCATGCCGAAGCACAGCGGCAGGGGGGGGGGGGGATGGGGGATGTGAAGACAGCCGTGGCAAGGACAGTACAGTGATGGGTGTTCTAGAAACAGTATGTGAGTGGGGCTACGGGAATCCTTCCTCCCCAAATGCCTCGGCAAGTAGAAACGCTTCGGCAGGTGAGTATGAGGGATATGCCCTCAGCAAGGATCAGGGGCCTGGAGCTGCTCAAAAGGAGAGGTGTTTAGCATCTGCCTGGATGGTAACTCAAGGAAGGGCTGGAGCCCTGTGTGGTGGGAAGAAGGGAACTGCCAAAGTCAGACTGAGGAGAACGGGGGTCACCAGGTGTCCCTGCATAGGAGCGCCTTGCCACCAACATTTCAGAGCTCAGCTGGCTTTACATCAGTGAGTCCCTGCTGAATTTGGCTTTCATCTCCCCCCCGGGGCACAAACGTGACCATGTGACAGGTGGGCTGGGATCTGGAGATGGGGCGTCCACCCCCCACATCACATCCTAGCACAGCTGGGTCTAGACCTCAGGCCACAGGCCAGGACCCCTCAAGTCTGTATCTCAAGCCAGCCCTGGCGGGGAGCGGCAAGACCGTTGCTTAGCAAAGCTTATACAGCAGCTAAGAAAGCAGCCCTTCTTCCTTCCTCCCAGACCTCACTGAGAGCTGACTCTTATTAGAATCTCATGGAAAAGGACCACAGCTGACATCCAGTGCTCCTACATCTGAACCCACTGTCCGGTCCTTTCCCTAGCCCTGACAGAGGGTCTTCTCAGCATCCATGAACCTCCCTAAAACCACATGCAAGCTTCGGGAGGGTAGAAGAAAGACAGCATGGAAGGAACACTGGTCTTGACTGACCAATGAGTCTGGATTCCAAACTTGACTCCATTACTTCTAATCAGGAGACATTTGGGTGAGTGGTCACATGCCTCTGAGCCTCAGTTTCCTCATCCACAAAATGGGGATAATTCTCATCCTCCAACACAGGGCTGAATGCGATAGGGCTGACAGACAGGGAGTGTTCACAACCTGTTAGCATCCTTTTGACTTTCTCTTTAGCACATGCCTGCTTCACAGTAGCTTGGAAGTTCATTTATGAAGTTTCTGGGCTGTCCTCCAGGCTCGCAGAACCTAGAGCGATGCTACCCCAGCCTGGGCCTTTAGAGGAAAGGCCCCAGATCCTGAGCAGTCACGCCACCACGAAAAGATGTAAGCAAGGAAGGATCTCTGCCATTTCAGCTCACTGCAGGGATGTGGGAAGGGGGACACTGAGCCCTGGCTTTAATAAACCTGAGGGTCTGGAGGCCCACTCGGGGGCTGGACCTCCAGGTCAGCAGACCTTCCCCCCTCGGAGGTCTCGTGGGATGTGTCCAGAGACGCCTCTGACACCCCAGCCACGCTGCTCAGTAAATCCTCAAACCCCCGGGGGTCGCTGTTGCGCACAGCAGCCTCCAGAGCCTTCTGGCGCCGGTAGAAGTGAGAGAACTTGTTGAAGATGATGGTGATGGGGAGCGCCACCACCAGGATGCCCCCGAGGATGCAGCCCGAAGCTGCCAGCTTGCCAACCACCGTCACGGGCACCACGTCCCCGTAGCCCACGGTGGTCATGCTCACTGTGCCCCACCACCAGCAGGCGGGGATGGTGTCAAAGCCCACGTCCTCCTCCTTCTCGGCTGTGTAGGCCACGCCGGAGAACACGGACACGCCCACGGCCAGATACAGCAGGAGGATGCCCACCTCGCGGTAGCTGTGCTGGAAGGGAAGGCAGGAAGCCAAGTCAGAGCTGTGTGGGCTCACAGACCTCGTATGGAGCATATGGGGAAACTGAGACCCAGAGAGTAGGAGGGGCAGGTCCGAAGTCACACAGCAAAGGAGAGCAGGTGCCAAGGTCCAGGTCCCTCAACTCCAAACTAAGATCTTTCATTTACAAGAGGCAGCCAGCTCGCTGGGAGCAAACACAGGCCTAAGTTCTGTTGTCCAGGATGCCCACTACGCCATCGCGGCTCCTTCCAATGCAGGGGGATCTGGTGGCACCGGCCAGTGGGTAAGAGCCTGTGGCTTTCCCATAGCTGCAGAACCAGTCTGTATTCCACAGTGCAAAGGATTGGTGTGATGTACTTTTGACTGGTCTATCTCATTTCTGACAAATACAAAAATACGTTCAGCCCCTCAAGAAAGCTGACGGGATACACGTTCCTGAACGCACCTGTCTATGGGTATATATATATATGCTCTGCCCTGAGGCCAAGCGGTGGTTCTCAAATAGGGCAATCTGCTCTCCAGGGGACATACGGCAAGGTCTTTTTTTAAAAAAAAATTTGTAAATGTTTATTTATTTTGGGGGGGAGGGGCAGAGAAAGAGGGAGACACAGAATCCAAAACAGGCTCCACATTTGAGCCTGATGCGGGGCTCGAATTCTGAAACCGTAAGATCATGACCTGAGCTGAAGTCAGACACTTAACCGACTGAGCCACTCAGGTGCCCCTATGAAAAGGTCTTTAAGCATTTTTGGTCATCCCCACTGGGACAGGTGTGCTAGCTGCATCTACTGGATAGAAGCTAGAGACACTGTTAAACATTCTACGATGCATCTGATAGCCAACCCCCCTTGCAACACATACAACCAAGAATTATCTCCCCTCAAATATCAATAGTGCTAAGGCTAGGACTCCTAGCCTAGAACTAGAATTCCCTAGTCCCAAACTGTAATGTGTGGAGGAATCATGCTGGGATCTTGTTTAAAAGGCAGAACTCAATTGAGTGGGTCTGGGGTAGGGCTGGAGATTCTGCATTTCTAAGCCAGTTCCCAGGTAACAGAAAGCTGCTGTGGGTCAGAGGCCTCGCTTTGAGTAGCCAGGCTGTCATGTGGAGTCTTACACCTGTGTCTTGGCCTCTGGCAGCCTCCATCAAAATTCTTTCCCCCTTGCAGAAAATGCTGGTGGCATCGGGTCCTGGCTCCCTGCATGGCTGGAGGCAAGGCAGACAGAGCTCTGGGGCGAAGGGATCTTCCCTGGACAGATACCAAGTCCCCTGTGCCTGCCCACTGGCCCGGCATTCTGCCCACGTCACCCTGCCACACCCCGCTTCCTGGCTGCCTTGCGTCTAGGGCATGAAAAGGGCTTTAGGAAGCCATGGGTAGAAGGGGTTTTCTAGGGGTCCGTAGGAGGGCTGCACGGAGCATTAGGAGGAAGGGCAGGAGGTGACGGAGTCAGGCACAGCTGGGTTCTTCTCTGGGCTCTGCAACTGACTCACTGAGGAACTCTGAGCCCTCCTGGAGCCTCAGTTTCCACATCTGCAAAGTCGTGACAATAACAGTTACCCCAGCTTGAATCCCTCATAGACTCCACCCCCTGATACTCGGGATAAAATTCAAAATCCTGGCCCAAGAGTCCATGGCCCTTCAGTACCCTGCCCCTCTCACCTCATCCACCTCATCAACGGGCAGCCCTCCCGCCCCGCCCCCACCCCCACCCCAGTGTTCATCCTGTTCTCTCTCCAGGCCGTTGCCCAAGCTGTTCACATTTCCTCCATCTCCACACCAGGCGAAGTTCACCCTTTCAAGGTGATTCACCCCAGTGCAGGGCCCCGCAGAAGGAGGGTGCTCAGTAAATTGCAACCAGGCTTTAAAAAGCCAACCTTCCAACCTCAGGTTGTTCATCTACGGGAAGGGAATAAATAACCGCATCTTCCTGAGGAAGTTGTCCTGAGAACATCGATAATGGATGTAAAACTGGCACAGAATTAGCACTCGCTAAGTGTTAGCTCTGGAGCTCCTGCTAGACTTGGCCTGTCAGGGGTGACCTACAATATCGGTGCCCCCTGACAATGCCAGAGGAAAGGCTCAGCGGGGAAGCCAGGTAGCATCCTGCTGTGCCAATTTCTGCACTATGTACCATCTGACATTTGACAGATCAAAACTGACCTTTGTCTTATTTTTTTAATTAAGAAAATTTTTAATGTTTGTTTATTTTTGAGAGAGAGACAGACTGTGAGCAGGGGAAGGGCAGAGAGAGAGGGAGACACAGAATCCGAAGCAGGCTCCAGATTCTGAGCTGTCAGCACAGATCCCCATGTGGGGCTTGACCTCACAAGCCATGAGATCATGACCTAAGCCAAAGTCGGACACCCAATACCGACTGACTCATCTAGGCGCCCCAACCCGCCCCCCCCCTTTTTTTTTTTCTTAAGAAGAGCAAACCTCTGCCTCGGTGTTCAGTTTTGACCTCTGGGAAAGAGCCCTCCCAGGGCTGCAGGGAAGGTCAGAAAAGATGTGAAGTGTCCAGCCCTGTACCTGGCACAACGAATGTCGCCTGGACCCCGCACGGTCGTAAGTTCACCTGCTAACTTGCCCTTCTCCCCCCTACATCTCCCCACATCCCCCCACCCCCTCGCGGGCCCCAGAGGCCCTACCTTGAGCGTGGCGCCCAGAGAGCGCAGCCCGGTGGAGTGGCGCGCCAGCTTCAGCACGCGGAAGATGCGCATGAGGCGGAACACCTGCACCACCTTGCCCAGGTCGCCGAGGTCCTCGCCGCCCCCGCCGCCCCGGTCGCCAAGCGCCACGCTGGCCAGCAGCGTGAGGTAGAAGGGCAGCACGGACACGATGTCAATGAGGTTGAGCGGGTGGCAGAAGAAGTTGCGCGTGCTGGGCGCCAGCAGGAGGCGCGACGACACCTCGAAGCTGAACCAGGCGATGCAGAAGTACTCGAGGTGCCGCAGCACCGGGTCGTCGCGCACGCCTTGCGCGCCGCGGCCCGCGGCCACCGCGGCCACGGCGGCGGCCGCCTCGCGGGCCTGGTACTCGGGCAGGCTGTGGATGCACATGGCGGCGATGGAGGCCAGCACCACGCCGATGGAGACGCAGCTGAAGAGCTTGCTGGGCAGCGAGTAGCCGGGGTTCTCCATGGTGAGCCACAGGCGGCGGCGCAGGCGGCCGCAGCGCGCGGCCCCGTAGCGCGCCAGCTCGCGCTGCACGTCGGAGATGTCGTCCGGGCACGGGTCCACGCTGCTCGGCGTGTCGCTGTCCTCGTCCCAGTCGCGCGGCCGCGCCACGCGCCGCTCCAGGTAGCGCGCGCGGCAGCAGGCGGCCAGCGCGCTCTCGCCCAGGCCCCAGTAGTCGGCCTCCTGGCCGAAGGCGAAGACGCACAGCTCGTCGAGCACGTGCAGGCGGCCGGTGCGGTAGAAGTGCAGCAGGCCCAGGAAGAAGCCCGGGTGCCGGTCGAAGTAGAACTCGCGCGCCGCCGCGTCGTAGTCGTCGCACAGGCGCCGCGCCTGCTCCTCGGACGCCGCGGCCTGCAGGCGGCCCAGCCGCGTGCCCGGGAAGCGCGCCAGCGCGCGTGCGCTCAGCCGCCGCCGCACGCCGCCCACGTTCACGCGCAGCGCCTCGTTGCTCCGCCGCCAGGGCACGCGGGTGCCGGGCCCCGGGGACTCGCTCACCATGGCCTGCGGACACGGGGAGGGAGGGGTACGGAGGGTGGGGGAGAGTGTCCCCGGGCCCGCCTTCCAGAAGGCCGGGTTCAACCCCCCTGCCCCCCTCCACCAGCTCGGGTGTGCAGAGGCCGCTCGGGGGTGTCAAGTACCCTCTGCTCTCAGACTAGGGTTTGAATGCCCCTCATTCCCCTGACCCAGGGTCTTTGGCCAGATCACTGAGCCTGCCGCCCCCCCCCCCCCAACCCCATTTCACTGGCACAGAACAAATGCTGAGATCTGTCTTGGGGGCTTATGAAAGTGACTGAGTGGCAGGATGTCCTGGCGCCCCAGGGGGTGCTCAGATAGGATGTCTCCTTTTCCCAAACTTGGATTTTCATATGCCAGGAACTTCCTGTGGGATCTTGGACACACCAGCACTCTGAAGCTCAGTTTCTTCCTCTGCAAAATGGGAGTGGTAATGCTAACTCCCCACCCCCGCCCCAGGAGTGTTGGGAGAATCCTTTTAGACCAGTAGTTCTCAAAGTGTATTCCCTGCATTCGCAACATCAGTACCACCAGGGAATTTGTCAATGATGCAAATTCTCAGCCTGCTCTAGACTTACTGAATCAGAAACTGTGGGGATTGAGTCCAGCAGTTTGTGCTTTAACAAGCATGGAGAGTGACTCTGAGGCACCGTGAGGCACCGTCAAGTTTGAGAGCCGTTGGCTTAGACCATTTAAGGCATCTTTGGAGTCAGTCAGAAGGAATACTGACTCTCTTCTGTGACCAGAGGCAAGTCATGTCACCTCCATGAACTTCTGTCAAGAGGAGATAAAAATATCCACCTCCAAGTGTCCTTAAAAAGATGAAATGAACTATTGTCTTTATCAGGCCTGGCTCCCAGAAGGGGCTCGGTTAATTATCCACCTGTTTCACTGTCTCCTGGAGTCAGCCAAACCTGGGTTTATCTCCATCCCTGGTACACCCGGGGCCTTGAGGAAGATGCTTTTCTCAATTTCCTACGCAATGCCAAATGCAGACAACCAGGAACCTACCCAAGGCAGGCCACAGGTCTAAAGGAGCTTATGGAAAGTGCTCGGCCTCAGTTGATACCAGAAGATGTTGGATCCTTCCACTGCACATTGTCTCCAAACTCTGCTGGGCTAGTGACTCACATCCTGATCCTCAGTAATCCCATCTGCACCACCTCATCAGCAATGCCTGCTTCCCAGGGTGGAATGTACACCACTGAGCGGCTGGCCTGGTGCCTGGCAGGGAGCCAGGTAAGGTGCCCTTCACTTACCCTGGGCTTGGTGTTAAGCTGATCGGGATCAGGGTTGTGTCCTTACCTCCGTTACTTCTGTGTCCTCAGGCCAGTCTCCTCTTGCTCTGGGCCTTGGCTCTCTTATCTATAGAGAACAGGGAGAATAGCAATAGCATTTAGGGTGAAAGGTTAATCTATGTGCAAAACCCCTGGAACACAGCTGGTACTCAGTAAATGTTAATCCTTTGCAATTTCTTCTGGTCAGAGCTGGATTCAAATTCTGAGTCTGCCATTTACTGACTGTTGACCGTGAGGGGCTCCGTTCTGAGCTTCAGTTTCCCCATTTGTAAACTGGAGGACATGAGACTTTCCTTGAGAGGTTATGAGGGGTAACTATAGCAAGATGTTTAGGGGCAACATAGCCCTTGGTTCATAATCCGTGCACAGTAAATACCTGGGCTATGGTTACAGCTCCACTCCGACCTCCGTCGTGGCACTGGGTGTCAAAGCATGAAGCTTCTAACCTAGCTGCATCACCCATTAGCTACATGACAGTGGCCAAATCCCTTCCTCTCTCTGGAACTCACTGTCCTGCTCTATGATACTGAAATCATAAACTCAGCAAACCTTCCCTAACAAGAATCTGAATATCAGTAAGAAAGATTAAATGACTTGCTCAACATTACCCAGCTAGTCCATGGCACAGTTAAGGTTGGCAACTAGGCTTTTCCCTTTAAGGCTCTCCCCACAAACTTATTTTGTGCACCTACTATGTGCTGGTCACTTGGCAGGGCTCTGTATACACTTCACTCGGTTTAATGCCTACACCAATCCCACCAGGGAGGTTTTCTAATCCCATTTTACAGATGAACCCACAGGACCGACCCCAGAGCACCGCCACCACACTCACAGCACTCCCTCTGGGCTGGAGGGGTTCTCATGGAGGGGACTCGGGCTGGGCACAGAGCAGCGCCCACCGCCCCTCCTCCCCCTGCATTGCAATCTGCAGCCCCTGCCCCTTACCGGGCCACGCCCCTCCCCGCGGGAGGTCCTTTACCTGTCAAGGCCCCTTCAGGGCGCCGGGTGCTTCAGTCCCGGAAGGCTCTGTGGCTGGGGAGCCGCTGGCCAGGTCGGGCTCATCTCTGTCCCAGCGCCGCCGAACCTCGCTGCTGCCGGAGGCCACGCTGCTCCCTCCTTCCCTGTCTTCCTCTGTCCCCCGCGGGGGAGGCCACATCGATCGCTGCCGCTGCCGGGGGGAGGGAGGAAGACTGCGGGCTGTCAGAGGCAGTGGTTTCTATTCCTGACTCGATTGGGTGGAGATGGTGTCTGGAGGAGACTGGGCCCAGGACATCCCCCTCCCCGCAGTCAGGGGCCAGGAGAGGAGGGGTCATTTAGGAGACTAGGGTCCTGCTAGGGAGGGATTTCAGCCGGGGTTTGCCTTCAAAGGAACAACAGCAGTAACAATACCTTTCGTAATTGCGTCCTTGATATGTGTCAGACCCTCCGCTTCAGGTGACTTTTCCAAGTCCTTCCTGCAAACTTGGAGAAGGACAGATGAGGCTCAGTCACTGGTGCAGGTCACTTAGCTTGGTCTTGTGGACTTTAGATTAGAGCTGGGGGTGGGGGCGTCGGCCTTAGGGGACTGGAGAGGGTGGCCTTATCCCCCAGAGCCCCCTGGGGCTGTGAAGCTTGAAACAGGTCATTTTGCCCCCCCAGAAGTTCTGTCCCCGCACCTGGCCATGGGTCCCTGATTTCCACCTTCCAAGTGGGTTGATAGGGTAAGGGAGAACTGTGCCAAAGAGCTTTGTCAAGGTTGTGTAATCCAGAGCGCCTGGCCGGCTCAGTCCGTGGAGTGTGTGTCTTGATCTCGGGTTGCAAGCTCAAGCCCCGTGTTGGATGTAGAGATTACTTAAATATAAAATATTTTTAGAAAGAAAGATTATGCAGGGCGCCTCGGTGGCTCAGTTGGTTAAGCGTCCGACTTGGGCTCAGGTCACGATCTCACGGTTTGTGGGTTCGAGCCCCGCGATGGGCTCTGTCTGTCTGATAGCTAGCTCAGAGCCTGGAGCCTGCTTCAGATTCTGTGTCTCCCTCTCTCTCTGACCCTCTGCTCACGCTGTCTCTCTCTCTCTCTCTCAGAAATAAATTTTTAAAAAACATTAAAAAAAAAGAAAGATTATGCAATCCACAAGCATTTATCAAGTGCCTACTGTGTGTCTGGCTGGAGAGAGGGTGCTGGAGACTAGGACCTGGGTACAAGAAAGGATTTCTACTTCACATATACTAGCTTTTATTATTAATAATCATAATAAGCAGGATTTTTTGAGATCTTCCTTGAGCCTAGGGTACTACAGGCCCCATCTCATTTATGCTGCAGATATATCTATGGATAGGTGCTATTATTATTGAAAGATAAGAAATGCAAGGCTTTGGGACACCTGAGTGGCTTAGTTGGTTAAACGTCCAACTTCGGCTCAGGTCATGATCTCACGGTTCATGAGTTTGAGCCCTGCATCGGGCTCTGTGCTGATAGTGCAGAGCCTGGACCCTGCTTGGGATTCTGTGTCTCACTCCCTCTGTGTCCCTCTCCTGCTCACACTCTATCTCTCCCACAAAAATAAACATTAAAAAAATTTTAATAAGAAATGCAAGGCTTTGAGAGTGAGGTGACTCACGCGAGGTCATATGGCTGACTTCTGAGACCTCTAGAACAGAACTGTCCACTAAATAGTCTGTGAGCCACATACATAATTTAAATTTTTGTGATAGCAATTAAAAAAAATTAAAAACAGATTAAATTAGGGGCGCCTGGGTGGCTTAGTCGGTTAAGCGTCCGACCTTCGCTTAGGTCATGATCTCGCGGTTCATGGGTTCGAGCCCCACGTCGGGCTCTGTGCTGACTGCCAGCTCAGAGCCTGGAGCCTGTTTCAGTCTGTGACTCCCTCTCTCTCTGACCCTCCCCTCCTCACGCTGTGTCTCTCTCTCTCTCCTAGAAATAAATAAAAACATTAAAAAAATAAAAATAAAAAAAATAAAAACAGATGAAATTAGTTTTAATAATACATTTTATTTAATGCAGTGTATCAAATTAATAGAATTTCAACATGGGGTCAATAAAGAAATTACTAAGGAGGTATTTTACATTTTCATTCTTGTACTAAGTCTTGGAGATCCAAGATATTCGTTTTTTATTGCTGTGTAACAAATTACAACACACTTAGCAACTTAAAACAATACAGATTTATTATCTCACGGTTCCTCTAGGTCAGAAATCTGAGCACAGCATGGCTGAATTCTCAACCCAGGGTCTCACCAGGTTGAAGTCAAGGTGTGAAGTCAAGGTATCAGCCAGGGCTGTGGTTGTCATCTAAAGTTCAGGGTTCACTTCTAAGCTCACAGATTGTTGGAAGCCATGTCCTTATGATTGCAGGGCTGAGGTCCCCCTTTTCCTGCTGGCTGTCTGCTAGGGATCACTCTCAGCCCCTAGAGGCTGCCTGCGGTTCCTTGCCACGTGGTCCCATGGGCAGTTCACAACAAGGATGTTTGCTTTCTTCCAGGCAACCTAGAGCGTGGACTTCCTCTTCTGTGACCAGCCAGAGAGAATGCACTGCTCTTAGACAACTCACCGGCTCAGGACAGGCCCTCGCAGGACTCTCCCTTTCCTCACTGAACACATTTCACGTATTACATCTACACTCAAAGAGGAGGAGATTATACAGGGGGGTAGGGTCACTGGGAATCATCATAGAATTCTGCCTACTATATCCACGTACAGTAAATCTCATTTGGAATGATCACATTTCACATGCTCAGTAGTCTCAAGGGGCCAGTGGCTACCATACTGGACAGTGTAGCTCTAGACTTTACCACTTCAGTTCTTCCCTCAGAGTAAGGAGTTAGAGCAGGAAGTTCACTGTCAACTTGCCCAATTCTCTCATTTTACCAACAAAGGAAATGAAGATCTGCAGAGAAGCAGGTCTCCTATTTCTTGGCCTAGTACTCTCTCCGCAGCCTTCACTGCCCCCACTTAGGGGTACCCTCTACCCTGGAGTTGGAGCAATCGCTTCCAAAAAGAGAAAAGACAGACCTATTTCCCAAGGGCAGAAGAGATTGAAACTAGGATCTGGTTTCATCCCCAGATCATGAGGGAAGTAAATGGAGTGTTGGATGAATTCATGAATGATAGAAGTGGGAAGAGGGGCATTATGGGCCTCTGAGGCTAAAGAGGGTATCCACACCCATTATATTGGGCTGTGCCCCCAAATTCTCCTTCAGTCCCTGGCCAGAAATGACCATCTGAAT